TTATTTGGTATTTCTCGTTTAATTGGAATTATTCTACTTGGCTTACGTTTTGGTTTGTTTTCCTCAATGTTCCTTTGCATGTTCCCTTATTCCTTTACACGTTTTGGTATTGGTGTACGACAGCTGTTCAGTAATGTTAAGAAATAAGGGGAGTGCTAAAGATTTATTAGACGCTCGCATCCCACCTCTATTTAAAGAGGCCAAACTATCTGAGCAGACAGTGAAGTAAAAATATGGTCCATCAAAACGATACCAGCGGAAGCTGGTGAAAATGTAGTTATTGGTTAATGCTGTAGATCTCAAGCGCTAAACAAGATTACAGTAGGACAATGAAATCCTTGCAAGACATAGCGGGAGAAAGATTAAGATAGTCATCTTTTAACTAGAAATTGTGCAGGTAACCGCGACACGACCGACTAAACAGAGGTCTTTCGTAACAAGCTCTCCGCCTACTCGCAAGTGCGTGAAGAAGCTCGACAGATTCAAGCTACAATGGTTACCTATCGCCTCAATTACTTGTTAATTTTAGAGTTTTTGGTTAACATCAGTATAAATGGTCAAAATTTCCTAATTTTTGGTACCACTTTACTGCTTTAAATTTCTGAGTCAGATTTGACGCACGGCAAACGGCAATATTCCAAACTCCTTCGTACAGTCTGAGGCTTTACTAAATTTTCTGTCTTGCATAATCAGCATCACATTCCAAGGGAAGGCTGGTTTTGGCAGACAGGAGACCAACCTGCATTCCGTTCGCAGGAAGTGGCGGCTTACAACGGATGACAATTTTATCAAAATACGCATAGAAATCAACTGTTCCGGAAGCCATTGGCTGTTAGTGATGATGAATAATACCAATATTACATCTTGACAGGTGAAGCTAATGAGCGTCAATAGACAAAAATTTGTAAACAGAGGATTTATCTTCTTCCACTTCTTGAGCGGGTAAAATTCACCGAAAATTGGAGAGAATTTTAAAAAATTACCGGTTATGAAAGCTACAAAACGCATCAAATTATTGTTCCGTAACTAAAAGGTGCCAGGGTGCAAGATGAGAAGAAATAATAACTGTCGAAAAGCAGAGGGAGAAAGGAAAATGCTTATGAACTCTGCTGCGCAAACAAGATATCAAAAAAATTGTCATATTAAAAACAACTTATTTCACAGACATAATAATACGATATTACAAGTAATAATAATAAAAGCATACAACTGAATGAATAACGTATTCACCGTATTCACTCCAACTTTTACACGGCAATTTTCACTTTCAAATGATCTCTTTTCGGCATCTTATCGTTGCCTCCTTGCCTCCCGACTTAATCTCTTAAAAGTATAGTTGCGTGACAACTTTGAGGTCTTTATTACTCTACGAATCTCTAACTGGACTAAACGTTTTTTTTCTCACCCTCCCCTTTCATTACAAACTTACCTACACAAATATATGGAGTTCCGAATACACGATTTCTGTGCTACCTTTACAACTAATACTACCTCTGGTCCTTGTCCAAATAGTCCTCTCGGACGTACTGATATTATCTATCATGTTTTCAATGTTTCAAGCTGTTACAGAGGCTACAATTCCGCGAGTCCTTTCACACAGATTAAAAGCTGATTTAACAACATTTTGTAACAAGGCGCTATCACAAGATATCAGTGATTAATGCTACTTCTGCCACTGCCAAAATTACTTTTTCGAGCCGGTATGGATGATCTTCCTCTTCACCAATTTTGCTCCAATAGGAGCCTATCAGAACAGTCATTTAGGACCCCTTGTCAGAACGGCTGAGAGGCTTTTTGTAATACAAGGTCCTTTTAAGACAGCTAGTCCACTCATACTCCTTTAAGGCGACCACTGCTGCCGTATTTAAAGAGTATGTCTAAATACGACTGATTTTAGCCGTCAGAAAAAACTACAAGTTAGTCTCTATGAAGCTCGTAATTTTTTACTCATTATCCCCCCTTCGACAGCGGTGCAGGAACCTACTGCGAGAACAAAGGTGCGTAAGTTGGCTATTACTTTATAACTGCGCTTTCACAGCTACATGCATCACAGACTGTGGTTTCCTACCCTTTACCGGCATTTACAAAAACGTGTTGACTAATGTATAGCTCAACTTTTTTGCTTAAATATCTCAGCTAAAAGAAGTTCTGCAAGTCAGTTGCAGCTATGGTTAAAGGAGCACGCCTAGTTTTAAGCAGCGTTTGTGAGAAGGTAGAAATGTAACATCACGATAAGGAAGTTTCTCGTTAATATTTTATAAATATAGTTAACAAAAGCATTTTGCGTTATGGTTTACAGGAAAAAGTGCCAAGAGCAGCTGATCGCTCTTGAATTTTATCTACACCTGTGCCCTTGAAACTACAAAACAAGAACCTTTTGGCATCCGTTCCTAGTATATCACCAGGTGATCGCTGAAATTATCTCGCACGGAAGAGCACAAACTTTAACTCAACTGGAAAGAAATACCCCTCTATTGGCAAAGCAGATATACGGAAGAAGCGCCATTCCTTACCTTACCGTCATATTTACATGGAACGAATACGGTAATCATCCTAAAAAAAAATTAATTTTTTAAAGAAGAAAAATATGACAGAAATTCAGGTGTACAGAAAGTTTTCACTTTCTTGCTGATACTATCTCTCCCAACCCTCTATGCACAGTACTTATTAATTTAGAACTTTTATACTAGAAGATGCTGCACTTGCTTTACCGTACTGAGCAGAAGTAAGCATGGCTAAATTACTGACGCTCAAAAACAAACATCTAAATAGACAGTTTCAAATATAAACAAACATCTAAGTAAAGAAATAGGGAAGCAACTAAGTAAGTCAACAGATGTTTAATTAACTCCCCAACGAAAAATCTTTCTTAGGAGTTGTGTTTTCTAACATATACAAATAGATTTGAAAGTAATTTTATTATTTTATTAAAATATTGGGTAATAAATTATTGTAGCGGCAGTTTGAGTTAGTTTTTGAACAGTGCAAGACAACGCTTCAACATAAGTATATGAGCAACTACACTTCGAGAATTTTTTTGGCAAAGCTTACAAAATGAAAACCTGAGAGATTTGGTAGGAATTCTGAAATTTTGCCACATTTTCAGTTTTTTATCACAAAGATCACTTTTACTTTCGTTCCAAGGAACAGTTTTAGTCTTCTGTAGGAGAATCGCCTTTATGCCTGCTTGTGTAAAAGTAATGTGATTCGCTAGCGCGAATTGGGTAAGGATCTTTGCTAATGCCAAAGAAGAGGGAGATGATTCACCGAGGAGGCATTAGAATTTAACTGCATTGCTTGACAACAGTATTAACATATACAGGGGGCTAGGATCTGTCGCAGATGAGACATACTACCGTTATTGGAAAGAACGGAAGAGGAACGATTGCTCTGAAGAGTTTGGACAGAAGTGAAGAAATTTAGCATTTGGAAGGGCGTCGTTGCTGGGTTAACTTAACGCAAATTAATGGAAGTTAGATAAAAACATCTCTAAAAACTGCTTAGGACATTGCCTCGGAACGTCAACTATACACTGCAGTTGCCGTCACTCACCGAATCAGGACCGGAAAAGATTAAGTTAAATGATCAGCTTGTAAATTAATCCATTCATAAGAGATAAAGCTCTAAAAGGTGTTCTGACTGAATTATTATGCTAAAAATGGCCTGTTTTTGGCAGCCTCTTAAACATATCAGCTGCAGGAAGGACCTTTGAAATATGATGTAATCCGCCTGAAGAAGTTAAAAAATTGCGATTTATGAAAAAGTAAGACTGAGCAGATCATTTAGCTTCATAATGCTGCCACTTCAAAGTTTTATCCGTTGTACGCTTTAATAAATTTTTAATCGAATCTAAATCGAACCTTTTCTGCATGCATAGCACGAAAGGCAGTTGTATGACATATATTTATTTATATAATTATGAGGTGTGAAGTTATGAAAGAAAGACATCATGTTGACCCGCAATTATTAAGCGTTAGCGTATACGTTTTCTATTTGGTTCTATTTGATACGAGATTTCCATCAACCTTCTCTGATTGTCGATTATTTTAAAATTCCTGCAATTGGGCAATGTATTATGGATTGAAAAAAAATAATCCAGCCTCCTCCTCCAAATCCTTGCAGTAAAGAATGTATAACAAAATTGAGTATTAGATATCGCTTTATGTTATGTTCAACCTCATTCATTCTGAAAGTCATCCTCCGTTAGATCTTTGCAGCTCTTCTAAAAATTTGGTTCCCAAGCGGAATACTATACCTCTTTTTGTACAGGTACATAGCCAAATTCCTGTACGGCCAATTTAAATAGTTTTACTCTTCTAAGTTTATCATTGTCTTTTGATGCGTTTTCATGAATGGAAGCTAGATTTTAATTAAAATCTGTCACGACCCATGCGAACTCTCTCAAAGTCTCCTACAGCGAGGGTATTTTACTCAGTCAAGCGATGAAAGCGAGATTTAAAAAGTTGAAAAGCAACAGAAAGCAGATTTTGAAGAATCAGCATTTCCAAACCGGGTACATGTGCTTTAGGGTTATGGCAAATTTCTTCTACCAGTAAATTCCTGTTCATTCTTTTTCGACGGCTTATGCTACTCTGGAATTGATAACAGACGTCCTCA